ACATTGCATACTTTCTTTGGCATTTACTGAAAGCTGTTTTTAAATTAATCACTGTGTTAGCTCTGCAGGTAAAGTGCACCTTCCTCCACAACATTTAAAAAAAAAAAAAAAAAGACACTGTTGGGCATTGCTGAGTTAGAAACCAAGTGTTATCAGGCTTTTGTCTTTTCACACCTCAACATGAAAAGCAGGGCTGTCACTGGGAAACTGAAGGCCGCAATGATTTTTTTCTTATAAAGCCTAACATTTAATACAAGTGTTTACAATTGTGCTAGGAACAAATGCAATTAAATGCATTTTTTATTTTAATTAAAAAAAAGAAAAAGAAAAGTTTTTCCCACATAAAGGGGCAGTACCTGAGTGCTAGGTATTATTTTAGGGGAGGGGAAAAAAAAAAAAATCAGGAATATTCTTTTCAGTGCAAACCTTGTAATCTTTAAAAAAAGTCTGATTACAAATATCTAAATTCAATTTTTTTTTTTTTTTTTTTTTTTTACTTAAGTGGAATGTTGCCTCACAAAGTATGTCTAATGCCTTTAACCAAGTTGCAGCCTTTCAATTAACCCTCTCAAAGTTAAAAGTTGTGCCTAAAACTTAAGTGTTTACAAAAACAGCATAATTTCTTAGACAGTGGCTGGATCAACTGCTCTCAACCACTGTATCCATCAATAATATGAAGGCAAAAAAACGTTTTGAATTCAGTTGCTGGTATTGGTTACTTCCACAATATAAAATTGATGCCAAAACGTAATTTGCTACTAGACTGGCACCAAAAAACTCTATAGTATGCAAGGAGATTTTTGCATGCATATCCTCTGCTTGCAGGAGTACTCTTTTTGAAATTGGAAAGAATTCCTCTGCATGCTAATGAGTTCTTTAATGCACACGTTAGACTTCAGCAGAGAAAGTGTGCCTGATATTTTTGAGGGAAAGGAATACAATTAATTTAGATAGTCAATGGGTGTTTAGATATGCATCCAGAATAGTTTTACAACACTGCGCTTTTGAAATTACTAGCTGGCATTTTAAGAAAACTGCAAAATAGGCACCTTGTTACATACTTTAGAATTTGCTCCTCATTACAAAACTTCTGGTACTAATGGCCGCATTGTTTCAGAAAACAGCAGCATGAAACATCAGATGGACAGGAACTTTTAATTTTTGTTCTCCTTAAAAAAAAGAAAAACAAAAAAACCCACAATACTTTAAACAGCAAAGCACTCAAGATAGAAATTCTCTCTCCAGTTCATATATAGATGGCCGACTAGTCTTGCTCTTCATCCTGCATAAAGGCACTGTACAGTCTCTGTTCTGACCTTCCACATCAACATCAAGTAAGGAGGGCATATGGCCTTTAGTTCTCTTCTCAGAATCTGGTAAAAAGTTAACATGTGGGCCTAAATCACCCTCTAAACAATCTGCCTCTGCAGAGTTTGGTTTTATAATCTGTGGAAGTAACTGCCAAGGATCTATTTTGCTTCTCAGAGAAGAAGGTCGAGGTCTGGATATAATATTGATGTTTGTTTGTTTTTGTGGTGACATATCACTTGGTATGATTCTTTGTGGAGATGGAGAACGAAGGATTCCAAAAACTGGGAGAGTAGACAACTTGGAGACTCCATTAGCTGAAGGTATTCCATTAGCTAGATCAAAGGGAAGACAAGACAATGTTAGATGATCACTTGTAACTTTATCTTTCCTCAAATTTGTAAAGAGGACAAGCAAAGAAAGCAAGTGTTAATGGTTGAACTTTATCTTCATTAAAATCTATAAAAACTTAGTAGGAATTAATGATGCCCCATAAATATTCAGCACCATCAGATACAATCTGGCTCAGACAGTCAAACCTCATACAGAAATAATTCCTTTGAGTCAATATTATTCTCGTGCTGGAAACTCAGAGTTACTGACTGAGGAAGAGAAGTAGGCTGTCATCCCAGTAACTGGATGCACGCCATTACTGGAACAAAGTGGGCAAAATTTGATTATCTGTTCAAATCATTTTGTTTACGCAATGTATAACACACAGTGACAGGGGGCTGTCCTCAGCCAAGCTCAACATTGGCCTGCCCACCTGTCAAGGGCAGTCTGGCCTCACTTGCTTGCCATGCCTTGAGGTCACAAAATAGATGAAAATGCAGGAAGCTGCCCATTCTAAGCCCTGATGCCAAGGACAAAACACACAGCTCTGACCTCCTATTTACTATCTCATGCCTCACAGATGGCATGCAAACTGCTGACAACTCTGGCCCATTGCTTGGCCAAACCCTGCCCTTTGCCAGGCCTCAATCACACCACCCCTCACTGGGCCTCACCCATTCTGCCCTACTCTGTACAGCCCTTTGGGTTCCCCCCCGGGTCTAGTCTTTGGGCTTCATCACGCAGATATTTCAGCCAGCCTACCTGTGGGGCTCGCTGCAGACTCTCACCACCCGCCTGCAGCCTCCCCCCCACCCCGAGACATGGCCGCAAGTGTGGGCTCTGCTGGGCACAGCCGCCGGAGCTGGAGCCAGCTAAAAGTGGTGCAGGGGAGGGGAGGGATGAGGAGCTGCAAGCAGAGGGGGGGAAAAGAGGCAGCCCTGCCCCCCACCACGAGCTGCGCTCAAGCCAATCCTGCCAGGGGACGGGCGGGGATGGGCTATGCTGTTCTAAAGACTCTGCATAGCCCGCACCCTTGTATAGCCCACATCCGTCCATCAAGTTTGTAAAAACGTGTATAGCCCACAGGCTATATGCATGAAAATACAGTACTCTAGTCTTTCAGCCCACCCACAGGCCCTACTCTACATGGTCTCCCGCTTTCTGTCCCACAATGGGCCAAACTCAGCCTCTAGTCCCTCTGGGCCACTACACTGCCCCTCACTAGGCTCCTGGGCCTTACACCCTTTGGCATCAGGCTCCATTCAGTGGACCTTGACCTCTGCCTCAGGCCCTGCTCTATGGGCCTGTGTCCTATGCTTTTCTGCCAGGGTATGCTCCCCTAACCTTTCCCTTCCATGGGATACCCACAAGGCAGCGGGGGCTGAGGCTCCATAGTGCCCTATCTTTGCGTTTTACTGGGGAGGCACAGGTGTGGCATTTCCTGGAGACTACCCCATCACACCATCCAACCCCAGCTGGGTGCAGTTTCAGGTCTTACCCATGACCAGAAGGAACCTCTTCCATCCCAATAGTTCCTACTCTGACCTCCAGGTGTTCCAGGAGCTGCTGTACTCAGGTTGGGTTATGCTGCTCCACTGGCCCCTGACTCAGCTCCTAGGGCCAGAGCTTATAGCTTGGCTGCCCAGCCCTCATCCAATGGAGGAGCTCCCCTCACGGTCATGTAACCACCTAAATGGGCCTAACTGCATCTGCCAGCTGCTCCACAGCCCGTTCAAGCCCCTTTAAGTGGTCCCACCACACGCACATTCAGAGGAAAAGAACAGTTTGAAGAATTCAAAAATAAATTATGATTCTGAAGAATACTGCATTACACTGTGGAGCAATACTATTCATAACAAGAACTCTCGGTATGTTACCCAGAACAAAATAATTCTAGTATCATACGTAACTAAAACTACCCATCTACCTCTGCTACTAGTAGATTTGATAAGATTTAAGCTTCTATTTGTCTTAGAAGTTGGACAGCCCCAAACTAAAAATCAGAGTGCACCAGCAGGCACTGGGGAAGTCCCTGTTCCCCTGTGCACTACCAGGAGTGACCAGGAATAACAGTCACAAGCTGGCAGAGGGTAGATTTAGGCTAGATATCAGGAGGCGCTGCTTCATGGTCAGGGTGGCTAGGATCTGGAAGCAACTTCCAAGAGAAGTGGTGCTGGCTCCTACCCTGGGGATCTTTAAGAGGAGGCTAGAAGAACACCTTTCTGGGGTCGTGTGACTTCAGTACTCTTTCTTGCCATAGCAGGGGGTCAGACTCGATGATCTGCTCAGGTCCCTTCCGACCCTAGACACTATAAACTGTTAAGTTCCAAAGGGCCACATGCCCCATTGCACTCTCCCCCACCACCCCAAGTGCAGTCCCAATTTCATCCTCCCCTGCCCATGGCACAGATTCCATCACCTGCCCCCTCCTACCCCCCCACAGTCCAGACTCACCCTCAGCTGTGTTGTACTGCCCCACCCCCTGGGGTAGAGGTAGGAAGCAGCAGCTAGAGAAAGGAGGGGAGAGCCTGGAGGCTCTGGCTGCTGTTAGAGCCAGGTGAGAGCTGAAGGGTGTAACCAAACCCCTTGCAAGCCACATGCAGTCTACAGGCCACTAGTTGGACAGCCCTGGTTTAACTGTTAAACATCCAGCATGTGACTGGACTCCCAGAAGGCAGTCACTAAAGTGCCACCCTGTCCTAACTGATTCAAAGGCATGAATTTTCCTATGCAATAGCCTATTTTGTGAACTTCAAGATTTCTCAAATCTGTTCTTCTATAACTCAATAAATGAATAGTAGTCATAGGGCACCAACCAGCCTCGACTGACCAATTGTCAGGCTATTTTAAATTATGTTTAGGATTTCTTTCTGCCACCTGAAGCCCAAATACTACAACATTTGCAGAAACAGCAATGCCAGCTACTATGCTTGGTAGTTTTGTTTCAAGACCCAAAGTATGAAGAGACCCCTTAATACAGGACCAGTTTTGACGATTTCATTGGCAATACTGTTCTAATGCATGCTGTTCACAGCAGGTTCCAGCAGACTTCCATCAAAGCAGCTTGAAACATTAAGTGAACCTGTATTGCTGTTTATTAGCAACACTTTTACTGGACTTCAAGGGCACTTATACACAAGCGCACAGTCTGCTCCAACGTGCTGGAATTCCAGTGCATTGGAGCAGACTAAATTAATCGAGTCTGCTGGAGCGTGGCAATTGCTGCCACCTGTGCCTTGTGTATCACTGTCTCCATGCTTAAAAATGGTGGTGGAGGTGCTTTATCTAAAGGTCAAAGTAACTTTAGTTCAAGCACCCCCACTGCCATTTTTAAGTGCAGGGATGCTGATACACAAGACACAACAGTGCTTTAATTAGAGCAGCTCTCCTTCCCCCAACCCACCCCTGAAGCACATACAAGTGCCCCAACTGACCACCTCTCCTTTAACAACTTGTTATTTATCAGTAACTTGCAGCAACTGATGAACTGCAGTTCCATAGGATTTTCATTTCTACAGTAAAAACTCCTTTTTTGATATTTTGTATTACTTACTTGTAGTCTGGAAAGCATTTCCTTCTGACAAAGTTCGTCGGTGACCCAACACCCTCAGTTTTGAGGAAGAAACATTTGGCACATTTTCAGATTGCTTAAGAGGATGAACAGGAGACGGATTCTTTACCATTGCAGTATCAGTGTCAAGAACCAGCTTTACCCTTTGTTCCTTCTTACTTGCAGGAATTTCAGATGAAAAGCCAGCAGTGGGAATGCTTGGGTTACAATCACTGGGCATAACGCTTACAAAAGCATCTTCACTGTCAGACTGAAGCAAGCATTTTGTGGAAATGGAAGAGACAGAGAGAAGGTTCACAGTATTTGCAGAAGGATTTAGGGATGGAATATTTGTTTCCTCCTTTCTGGACTGCAATCGTATAGGACTTGCACTCCTGTGAAACTTCGAAGCACGCTGAAATATTCCATCCCATTTCTTCTTTTCCTCTTTGAGCATGAGTTCATCTGGAACCTGCGATTTGTTCAGCTCTCTAATGTCTAAGCCCAAAGCTACAGATGCAAGGAGAACCGCACATCCATACAACACAGAGTCGGTTTTTTTTTTCTGTGATGTTCTATTAAGACTGTTTGTAGGAGTCATTTGTGGAGTACTATTTGTAGAACTAGTAGAGGTTCCTTCTTCAAAGCTTTCATGATCTACAGCATTCTCTCCCTGATCATCCTTCCAAAGAGGTAGATTAATATATGCCTGATTTGGCAACTTAATTGGCTTTGGTCTTTTACAGTCCAAATCTTCAGGGAAAAGTCTCTGATCTGTACAAACACCTATAACGAAGTATTAATACTTTAGTACTCAAAATAAAATGCAATTTCCTCTACCTTGCTCGCTATATGTACCTCGAGATTTTTTATATTTGTTATTTTTGCTGTGAGTGCAGTCTGCTTCATTTATGTATTTTACCGGCTCAAAGAAGCATACTGGGATATCTTTTAAGCCAGATTTAGATATTGATGTTCAGTGAAAGTCTCCCTATGTGCTTTTGATCAACATGCAAAATTCTTACTGGAATCTTTAGAATGCATATATGTAAAATAACAGAAGGTTTTTTCCTACATGGGGTAACTTGTAGCGAAATGGAATATGGGTAAACAGTGCAAGTACATCAACTGCTGCAAGTTCTGGATAGCTGGAGTAGGTTGAAAGATGATGATGACCAAGCAGCAATTGTTCTCATTAATATTTTAATCCTAACTCTATATTTTTGGTCTTTTAGATATTATTTAATAGCTATTATATTGTTTTGCAGGTAGATTCCTCTGCCCCTACGAACCCTGAAGTACTGCTTGACTGACTTAGCTCTTTTTCAGAACAGTTACTCTATTTTAATAATACAAAGAGCCTTGGCCTACATGGCAGCATAAGTCCTCAAATGTACCTTCTTTAAAGAAAATCAGTAAATTTACAATAAAATTTGTTTTAGTCTTTTAAGTATCAAGAAAATAATTAAAAAAATACAAAGAAAATGGAAATGAACCAGACAAAGATTACTGGAAAAAACTCTAGTCTTCACAAAACTGAGATGTCAGCACAGTGTTTAAAGGTATATACCAAAGCAGGTTAAAGGTCTATTTTTGCTTCAGGTAAAGAGTATGCATAAATCTTTTCAGAAGTGGAGTGCTAATATAATTAGGGCAACTTTTACCTTAACACAAACAAACACCTACCTTCATCTGCAAATAGCGAAGCTAATGGAACCCCTTTCTGATTTTTCATTAAAATTGTTGACCAAGGATTGCTGCCGTCAGAGAGGGGTCTTATTCTGAAATAAGAATGATTCTTTTTGACACAGTCTAGACCAGCATATTTACATAAAACGTTTATTAGGAACTACCACAGGCTAAAATGAATAAATGTTTTGCAAATTAAACATTTACTGTACACTGCATGTAACATTAAAAACTTCATAATTTAAAGGATCTTAAAACGGATTAAGTGGGTTGATATGGGGTTGTAAAATGCATTATAACATCTTTACAGGAGACCTATGCAAAAACAAAAAAACCCCCAAACAAGTCAAGAAGCGTACAAAAGGGAAGCTGCATTTAGCAGTTATGACTGTATACCAAGATATGCTTTCAAATCATAAATGTCCATTCTAACTGATAAAGATTTAAAAATTGGATAATAATTTACTTTTCTAGAAAGAAAGTAAAATGGGTCTAAAAGTAACAAGCAGAAAGATTATCAGTAAAATCTCTGAGGTTTTACGGGTCTCAAATGAAATTATTTAAAGCATACTGCTTTTCAAAAATCAGGAAAAAAAATTTCTGCAGCACATGAATAATGTAGAATTCATGGCTAAAGCTAGTAATATACACATAAATTTGAGTCTTTTCTTCTCCAGGATAGACTGTTTTAGCATGAACTACAATTATACTTATGTATGTTAAGAATGACATGGGGGAAATAATATTACATTTCAGAAAACTCAGAGAGCTTTCTGAGGTCAGAATAAATTTTCCTGAATGCAGTACACAATTATCCAGGTAATTTTAGGATTCTTTTAAAAGTTTTCCTTGGTATGAATCTCATTTATGGTATGTATTCATGCTTCACACAGGCAAAATAATCATCTTTTAACTAACAGTGTCGACTGAGGCCAAGCCTGAGCCCTCCGTGCCTTCAACTTGTAACACCCAATGGTATAAGTGACAGGAGCACTGACTTTCTTTTGCTTCCATCGTTAAATTCAGAATCTCAGGAAAACACTCAAAAGGAGTAGGGATGGAAGGTCTCAGAGAAGGTTGAGTTCATGAGGAAGCCACCTGTGAGGACAGCTAATAGTTCTCAGATGAATAAACAAGAGCTTGAGGAGTCCTAGCTACAACTGGCTAGCTAATGGCTGCAGAACTGCCTTCTCAACTTGGGTATTTGATCTGTGCAAGAGACAAGAATTCGTGTGTATGATATATTTTATTGGACTAACTGCATGACTGGAATAGACACAGCCAAGCTTTCTGGTATCACAGCACCCTTCCTCTCATACTTAATCTAGTCACAAAAAACAGTTTTCAACATAGTAGTCATACCTCTCCTTACAATCTGCACACTCTTTTATTTGAACTGAGCTTGGCCCCCATGTACAACCTCTCTTTTTAAAATTTCTCTTCACATCTTCAAATTCCTCTTGGTGAAAAGCTGCACTTCTTCCCCAAGTTCTATTGCTGTCATCTGAGGTTACTAGAGATGGAGAAGTAGATTAGTGATCATTAATGGTCCTTGCAAAATCAGAGAGAGAGAATTAGATTTTGGCAGAACAGACTTCTCCACTCTAACAACATTTAGCCAGTAGCAAATAAAAGTGCAATTGAAAGATTGAGATGCATTTTTTCCATAGAAAAGCCCATACATATACTGCAACAATTCAAAAGATAAGCAAGCGAGGAATAATTTGTAAATGGGAAAGAAAGGTGCAAAATTAACAAAAAAGTAGGAAGGATTCTTTTTCATGCTTATGACTCAAAATGTGACATTGAAAAGTAATGTGGTAAGTGAGGTAGATTGAGCACTTGGTTAATATATTTGTTCATGGGCATTTGTGATCATATATCTTTATGAACATATCAAATTAACTCAGTGTCACACTCAAGATATCCATTTGATTAAATGTGGTTTTGTTTTTCATTAAACAAACACTGAAGAGATTTTCTGCGTACGTGCTCAGTCTATCACTTGAATTCAGCTATAAAATTAATACAACCAACCCCTTTACAACTGAATTGAATCTTGCCTTTTTTCATAACCCCACTGGGAAGCTCATATTCACTTGTGATATCTACATCTTGCTGGTACACATACACACTGTTTCTTCGGCCATTAGTTGCATTTGTGTCTGTTTTGGAAAGCACTAAGGAAAAATTAAAAGAATGCAGTAGAAATCTTAGTTACTTTAATTTATAAATCAAAGGAAGGACTGATTCTTTCTTCATTTTAGATCTTGGAACAGAAATCCAGATCTAGAAAGTTTCCAAGCACCTCTTAAGAAGAGCTTAGCATTTACAGCAAAACGTGAGGGTGTGCTGCTCATTCAAGGATTGGCCTTGGTTTGTGGATATGATTCAACTAAATGGATTCCTGCATCAAGCCAGGTCTAGAGGCTGTTAACTGGAGAAGTAAATCTACTCACAACCAAAGTTATTGTACAGACATAACAATATCAAACTTAAAAACTTGTTAAAAGTCAGCTTCATGTATAGACTGTTTAGACTTCATGAGTTTGAGCTCTCTTGCTGCGACCCTTCTCCTCAATTCCCTTTTAAAGAAATTAACCTACTCTACACATCACAGCTGATGATTTATCTTCAGTAAGCTATGATATTACAACTGAGTTTTCAAATTTCTAAAGAGCCTACTTAGCATTAGCATTCAAAAATGGAGTTCATTTTTTCTGACTAGTTTTTTTTGTTTTGTTTTTAAATGAGGAGGATCTTGGATTCTTTCATTTTAGAAAGCTATTTAGATTTGGAAGCCAGAGGATATTAAGATGGAGGATTAATCAAGCAACCAAGTATTAGATATTCTTGTTCAAAGTGCTCATACTTGAATAAATTCTAACCAAAAGCCATTTTGAAGTTAATCAAGATAAACACAGCACTGAAGGGGGGTATTTATTTTTACACAGGCACAAGGGATGTGGAAATTAAGCTGTTTGAGCCAAATAGCCTTGAAAGACCTAGTAGGCTTTTTGACAAACCTTAGCAATCCAAACTCAAAGAAAGCAAGTTCTTCATTTGAAATCTACCTTTGCATACCTGATGGCCCTATAAAAGAAAATCCCACTTGGAGAATTAGGTCCTGAAACGGAATGCTTCACAGGAAGAAGCCTACACAGACGAAGCCTCTTCCAAAATATAAATGTCAATTATTTTCTACCTCTCCAAAACATTAACAATTCTAGAACTAGGCTAATCAATGGCTTCTTTGTTTGGTTACTATGGTGATGAGTGTCACAGGTAAGATCTAATAGTAATCAAAAATAGCATGCTAGCATGAAAAGCTAGTTTTAAATGAAGGTGAATACCAGCTAATTTCTCTTAGGACTGTAAAAAAGGTGAGGGAGAGGGAGGAGAAGAGAGCAGGGGGCATTACAACTATACTAGTTAACATTCTGAAAAGGATATCACCCCTGAATTTTCCACTGATGCTTTTTTCAAGCAAAATTTGAGCTTCATTGGGACAGGCTGTATCAGACTCCCTTCGTTCTTAATGAGGAGTGCAATAACTGAATGCTCAGGACCTGGGAAAATTAGATCTACTAATTGTTATTACCTTTTTTTTAAAAAAGAATCTTTCAGTGCTTCCAAAGCCAATTTAAGAACAATTTCCTAAAACAATATTTTAACTAAAAAAAGATGCATTACAATTTACCGTGTTCTTTTCAGCCAGTTAACCTGAAATAATTCCTAAAAACAGTCAATAATTCAGGACAATTCTTTCTTTATCCACAGTAAATTGTCATGGAACATGTAATTCTATCACATCAATGTTCAAGTCCACCTCTAAGGTACAGCTACCAGTGTTTCAATGCACTGACATAAAACAAACATATTCACATTGTTTAAAGAAATGAAATAAAATAGTGATGAAAACTTACATTGTATAGCTCGAAGACGAGGCATTATTGTAGGGCTGCTTGGTGGACTAGAGTTGTTACTGTTTAAACTTCTTCGCTTATCCAGATTAGGGGATGCTTGAACTGTTATTTTGTGCTGGAAATCTGTTATAAAATAAGCAACACACAAATTACAGCTTCTAAATAAAGTTTTGGCTTTCTAAAAGATTGCAGTGCTGTAATTTAGTCAGAAAGAAAGTTGTTAGTTTCTTTCTACGGTAACACAGCCAAATTGAGTACTTTACTAGTGTTATTGGTCTGAATCTTTAGTCACAATTGTAGGGGTACCACAGCTTCACTGTTACCACTTGATGGGCCAAGTACTACTGTGAAAGGAGTCCGGTAGCCCAAGGAGGGCTGAATTGATAAACAATGACACCAAAAAAATGTGCATCTTTCCTGGAGCTCAGCAGGAATACTGAAGATAAACAGGATATGGTAAGAACTTGTTTGATTTCAGAGTGCCTTTATGAGTTGGCAAGGCATTATGGGGCAGTTGTACAGCTATGAAAGATACTTTTCCTGTTACAGAATAGCCAAGGGTTTGTAATCTCTAGGGCTGGGGGGGAGGGCGTTGGCATGTTTAAGCATACTTAATTCACATATACCAAAAAAATTGATGAAAGAAATGTACACCTGCCAGAACAAATTTTCATTAAAAAATACAGACAGTGAACTAACTGCAAGGAATATGTCTGACAACATATTAAAATAAACCTACCATTAATATTTAAGTACTGCAACACTTTACATAGCAAAATTTATCCATTTAGCTTTGTTTTACGGTTAACAAAATTAAGATAAGATTTTATGCATGTATGTAAAAATACATATGCAAACATTCACCTTTCAAGACTTCCAACATAGTAGAAATGACCCATTAGGTGCATAAAACAAACACTGTAAAAGTGCAGCAAGTAAGATCCATAACCTGAATTGGGGGGGGGGACGGGGTTAAACGTACTATTTGAAGACTAGATCTGTAATAAGGTACGCAGTGGAAACACTCAGGTTGGAGTATAACCATACTGCTGTCACAGGAGTGC